CCCCTGCATCGGCAGGCGGACTCGCAACCACTGCGCCACCAGGGAAGCCCAAGGTGCCTCTGTCTTGGCGTGGCCAATGACACAGAATGGAACCTCAAAGCAAAGGAAACAGACCTAAGGGGGAAAAAATGAGGTTGAAGGACATTGTCTAGTTACTTTACAGGTGAAAGTGAAGAGGAAAACATCAGATAACCATAATAAAATGAGCACAATTAGACTATTTACCTCTCAGAGTTGTTACAAGATTAAATGATGCAGAATAAAACCTAGCATATTCTAAGAGCTCCATGAATGTTGGTTAATACGGGTATCCCTCTTCTGCCCACTGCTACCCCACCTTTACAACCCACTCATTGCCCACCGGGCTTCATGCTCATGACAGTTCCCTAGTTCTTATTCTTCCTCTTTCCTCAGGTACTGGTCTAGGGCTGAAACCCAGTGTCAATTCGCTCACCACTCCCAAATCCTTCAAGCTCTGTCCCCCCAACACGACCCCCAGACCTCATTTGATTCAGAAGGATTAACTATGCAATACCAAAATGAGATGCCGCAGCTTGCGCTAGTTTTGTACTTACTGAAAATTGGGACCAATTTTTTTTCAACATTTAACAAACATTTATTGAATGTCTACCCTGTATTCCCATAGCCCTCTTGGCATGCATTCCTAGTATTGCAGTTAACATATTGAATAGAAATCCTGTTCACTTTTTCTATTTCTCATTTTACACTGTGAGCTTCTTAGGGCAAGGACCATCAGAATTCTTTTATGATGGGAGAAAAGCTTTTTTAGTGCTGCCTTGTTCGATAAATAAAATATTTATTTTTTAACGCTGCCATATTTCTTTGAAGTTCTCTTCAAAATTGTCCTCAATAAAAGAGTGTACTAATCAAATTCAACTTCCATTGCCTTTCAAAATATATTTTTTAAATAAATAAGGGGTAGAGTGTGAAATAAACAATCAGTCCGTGTTTATCGAAGCACTTTCACTTAAAAGACCCTCAATTAAAAAACAAGCCAATGAATGAATTCTGAGGCAGTTGTGTTGAACATGACCGTGTCTGCTCCTGCCTTTAATAGAATGCCATTGACATGTGCCACTCTGGAGTGCTGTGAATATATCCTTAAAACCACAGAATTTTCAATTATTTGCTTTACTAACTAACTACTTTGACAAGTATTTATTCAGTGTCAACTATGTCTCAGGCATTTTCTCAGCTCTGGGAATGCTGTGGTGAGCAAAACAGAAAGGGCATGTGCTAGAAGGAAACGCCTAAGGAAGTACAATTGGGCTGAACAAGTACTCTCCACCTGCTATTCACCTCATGCTGACTCTTTTGTGAAAGAAAAGACTAATCTCAAGTTAAGTGCAAAATGATATATAAAGAGTGTTCTATAAGGATGAAAAATCACCGACTAAAATTCATGTGTTAAATTCTGAAACGGACCTAGGGACAGGAAACTCACTGTTTTGTGAGATCACTTCACTTAAAACATATTTGCTCTTGGCTTCTTTGACAGTCATGTCTCCTGTTTTTCCTGTTTTCTTCTTCCCTTGCTGGCTGGGTCTGTGCATTCTCCTCTCCTGGATTCCTCTGCTCGACCTGACTTCTAAATATTGCCACACACAGACACATTTGCACTTTTTCAGATCTGTACTCGAGAGGCTCCTTCTACCATGGGTGTTTTGTATATGCTCTTCCCTTACCTGGAACTTTCTTCTGTCTCTGGCCTGGCCCATCCAATAAATAGCAACTTTTATTTTCTCTCCCACCAGGTCAAATCCCTCTCTGATCAGGTCAAATCTTCCTCATTAAAAAACTGTCTGGGGCTTCCCTGGTGGCGCAGTGGTTGAGAGTCTGCCTGCTGATGCAGGGGTCACGGGTTCGTGCCCCGGTCCGGGAAGATCCTACATGCACGGCTGGGCCCGTGAGCCATGGCCACTGAGCTTGCGCGTCTGGGGCCTGTGCTCCGCAACGGGAGAGGCCACAACAGTGAGAGGCCCGCGTACTGCAAAAAAACAAAACAAAAAAACCCAAAAAACCAACTGCCTGTTATTTAGAGCACTTGTCACAAATTACAATGTTAAATTTGAGTAATTATTTGATTAATATTTGTTTTTCACCAAAGACCATACATTTTCATGACTGCACTTGACCTTTTTCGGTTCTCCCTGTATCCCTGGCACTAACCAGCATGAATCCTGGCACAT